TGTTTGTTTTAATTTCTATTTAATTCATTATAATTTCAATTAGGTTCTTTCATTATATTTTCATTTACTTGCATATTACATTTATTAAATCATGAAAATTATTCTTCTTATAAAACCTTTCTTCATTCTTTTCATTATTCCACTTAAATACTCTTTTATTACTTCTCTCTTTTCTTTTATTTCTTATTTGTTTATTTGTTCTTTATTTTGATACTTTTCATATCTCAATTTGTACTTTAATATGAATTCATATTGAAATATTTATGAAGAAAAAATGAATTAACCAAATAATTCATGGTATTATTAAAGTAATTATTATGATAATACTTATCTATATAAATATTAAAGTACTAATATTTTATGGTAAAAGTTAAAGTAATTTTGACCAAATAAATAATACCCATTCTCGTCATTCTTCCTTTTATCTTTCTTTGTTTATTTCTCTTTCTTTTCTTATTTACTGGGTTTTTACTTTTTCATGATAATATAGTCCCTGTTATGTATCGTTTTTTAATAATGGAACCATGGATAAACAATAAAATAAAGACATAAATAAATAAAGAATATAACTAAAGTACAGAGAAGTCAAAAGAAAGTTAAGGTATATAATAGATAACAATAAAATTAATGAAGAAGTAATACAAGAATGAAACTTTACTTTATAAAAAAAAACAACAGATCAAAAAATCAGAAAGTCAAAATGAAAGAATTAAATAAAATGTAAATGAATAAATATCAAAAAGATGATCAATTGACAAATAAAAATATCAAATATAAAATGATAAAAAGTGTAAGAAAAGAAATTGATATTAAAATTAAGAATAGTAAGAAATATAAAAAGAAGTGAGGAAATATTATCAAATAAAAGAGTTAAATATAACTAAGGTGTTGTTAGATGATAAGAATAAAAAGGAGAAGGGTCATAAATATAAAGAAGTAAATAATGATAAAAATGAATTAAGAAAGGTTGATAAAGAATAAAACAAATAATGATATTTTTAAATAAAAAGTTAATAGAAGTAAGTAATAAAAATAAAATAATGAACATACAGATATTGTAAATTTAAAAAGTATTATTTCAACACTCATAATAACAAGAATGGTTGACATTAATATAAATATGACAAACCATATGATTATATTTGTATTTGTTTGAAATATTTAATAATTATATGAAAGCAGAAAATTAATTTTGAACATCCTAATTATAGTGACATTTTAAAAACTCGTTTCAAAACAAGTATTACATAATAAAGAAATAGAATTAACTTATTTCAAATAAGATGAATCATCATACTTAAGCATTGTATTCAATTATTTATGTATTTAACCAACCAATAGCAAATTTTACATATTCTCTTTTGTTTTTTTTGTGCTTTCTTTCTTCATTATTTTTTCTATGTTAATACCTTCTCTAGTTAAATTCTTTATTTTTTTCTAGCGTTACTTTTAATAATTCCATTTTCTTGAATTAAGTACTTTTGATTATCTCTTTCATTTTCTTCTTTAATTTTTCATTGCTTATATCTATTTCATTCTCTCTAATATTGTTATTCAAGTTGTTCAACCTCTCTTCTTTATTATTTCTAATTCTTTTAGTGATATATCTTCTTCTTTGATTGATAAATTTTACTTACTGAATCTTATTTTATTATTAGTGTTTTTTTATTTCATTTTCTTCTTTACCTATTTTCTTTTTTCTCAATTCATATAATTCCTTTTCTATTTCGGTGTCTTTTTTCTTTGATATCGCTTGTTTATTCTTTTTGTACTTAATCCTTTTGGTTTTCTTTACTTCTTACTTCTTTTTCTTGATTTCTTAATCTTTAATCATCTGTTTTTTATTTTCAAAAATGGATTTCTTTCTTCCTTTATTCTTAATTTCTCTATTCTTGCCTTCTTGTTTCTTCAACCTCATTCATTCTTTGATTTATTTCTTATTTTCACTTCTTTTTCAATCCTGTTTCTTCAAGTATCTTTTATTTTTAAATGTTCTTCATTTTCATTGATTATTCTCATAACAGTA